TACTACTATTATTAATACTACTACTATTATTAATACTACTACTACTATTATTAATACTACTACTATTATTAATATCTCTACTAATACTACTACTATTATTAATACTACTACTATTACTACTACTACTACTATTATTAATACTACTACTATTATTAATACTACTACTACTATTATTAATACTATTACTACTACTACTATTAATACTACTATTACTATTACAACTACTACTAATACTACTACTATTATTAATACTACTACTATTATTAATATCTCTACTAATACTACTACTATTATTAATACTACTACTACTACTACTACTATTATTAATACTACTACTAGTACTACTAATAATAATGATAATAATAATAATGATAATAATAATAATAAATATTATTATTATTATGCATTCCATTTATAAAGTACTTTACATGTGTAAATGTCAAAGTGCTATATTTCAAGAGTCGTAAACCAAGATGAATGAATAATAATAAAAATCACTAAAATCGGTTAGTTCCATAAAAACAACCCAGGAGAGCAGTTTGAATCTTTTCTGGCACATGATGCAGTGTGTGGTGAGGAAGTGAATGCCACAGACGAGGAGCAGCAGAGAAAAAGGCTCAGCTTCTCATGAGCTGAGTTCTGTGGATTTGAAGGTGGGATGAGTTGTTGGAAGAGAGACAAAGGATTCTGAAGTGTGGGGTGAGCTCCTCCTTAAGGTGCAGTGTGGGACACGGCCATGCATACATACACGTGTGTGTTCGTTGGGTTGTGGAGGAGACAGGAAGCCAATGATAATGCAGGACTGGTGCGATGTGCTCAGGTTTTGTCAGGAGTCTAGCTCTTCTGCATGAAATGGAGCTTTTGAAGGTTTTTATTTGAGTTGCCAAAAAGATTTGAATTGTAATAGTCCAGTGTTGAAGACAGAAAGGCATGGACAAGTCTTTCAGCATCAGAACAAGATGGTGATCAGACTATATTTTTTTAAACAGGTGTCTAACATGGGAGCTGATCTAAAACATGACTGAGGCTGACGGGGAGTGCCAATCAACATGGCCTCAGTTTTGGAGCTGTTCAGTTGACAGAAGGATGCAGAGGATGAAGCACATGGGCGACAGTCTGTTTTATGTAAAGTTGAGTGTCATCAGCATAGCAGTGGAAGTAGAGCTGGGCGATATGGGACAACATTTATATCAGAGTCAGATTATATATGATTATTTTTAAGATAAATCGCGATATACCATACATATCTTGATATTTTTCTTTTCATAAATAACAAAAATATATTTCTGAGTCAAAGTTTTGTCCCACTTGTCACACAGCCACATTTATTAACAACAGCTATAACTGTACAAAATAAATGCCTAAAAATAAACTATTTACATATACTAGTCTATTTTTTAGAAATCTATTTACATACAGTATATTAAATAATTATCCTCTTCAGATGGGGGTAGCTGTGGCTGAGTGGTTAGAGCAGTCGTCCTCCAATCCAAGAGGTGGGGGTTCAATTCCACCAGCAGTCACATGCTGAAGTGTCCCTGGGCAAGACACTGAACTAGGGGTTGAACGAGTATATAATTTTTAAACTCGACATTAACATAATAAAACCCGAGTAGAACTCGAGTATTTGATGACGTCATAGATCTCAAGATACAAAAATAAATAAATAAATAAAACCACAAAAAAGGTAATTATTTACACAAAAAAGACCAACAAAACATTGGGAGCGTATATTATGCTCCTCCCATTTATCATACGGCAAATAAGTCACAGGAAAAACTAAACTATTAGTTTTTATTATTAAACTGCAAACGTGAAGAAACGCAGCACGTCAGAAACGAAACTTAAAACAGTGGATTGGACCCAGTGTTACACCATACTCTGTGACCGGCAACTGTGCAACACCGCCCCCTACAGTCATACGTGGTCACATAATATGACGTCACTATGGATACTCGACGTTACATTTTTAACCTCGATAGAGGTCCTAGCAATCGATGTGTAGATTACTCGAGTACTCTGTTAATGCCCTACACTGAACCCCTCATTTTCTCTGATGTGTGTCCCATCGGTGTATGACTGTGATAAAGCTCTGATTATTCTTCGTAGAGGTCTAGTAGAGTGTTTGAATGAGTCAACGAGGCACAGGTTGTGTAGTAAAGAGCTTTGAGTGTCATGATAAGATAGAAAGGAGTGATAGTCCATCCAGCTGCACCGCCTTCAGGTTAGTCAGCGTGTGTGAACTGAGGTAATGAACCTCCACTCGGAACCTTGAAGCTGCAGCTCCGACAGACCTGAGTCCTTCCTTGAAACAAATCACGGCTCAGAGCTCATTTAGCCGTGCTGTGCCTTTTAGAGGAACACAGAGAGGAAGTGCAACATTAATAAATCAGCAGCTTATCATATCGCTAAACTCACGGTCCCATCTCAGCTGAGGAATAAGACGGCTAAAGCGTTAGCCGCTTGTTAGCCGCTAGGGACCGTACCTTTATGAGTACGAGTCTCTGACTTGTCTACTCTAATGGCAATATGTTCAGTCCTGTTTAAAAGATGTGACTGGAACCAGTCAAGAGCAGTACCACAAAGCCCAGTAGAATGAAAGAACCAGTTTAGAAGATTGTAATCTTCTAAACTGGTTCTATTGTGGTGTCAACTGCTGAAGATAAGTCGAGAAGGATGAGAAGAGAAGGTGACATCTGCTGCCTTCAACAGGTCATTGGTGATAAGAATCAAAGCTGTTTCAGTGGAAAGTGAAGAGCAGAACCTGGACTGAAACGTTTCAAACAGCTGATTTGATCTGAGGTGCAGCAACAACGTTCTCCAGAACCTTTGAGAGGAAGGGGAGATTAACTGTGGGTCTGTGGTTTGTAAGAACGTCAGGGTGACGGGTGTTTATTTCAGGGGCGGTTCGATTATGTCAGTTTTCAGTGCTGTTGGAACAGAGCCAAACTGAGACATGGATGAGTAGTAATGAATGGACCAATGGTAGAAATATTTGTCCTAAGTAGAGCGAAGGAGAGCGGGTCAAAGACACATGCAGTAGGGTACATCTTCCTGACAATGTCCAAAATCTCCTGCTGGGTGACGAGAAGGACGGAGGAAAGTGCTGCGAGATCTTGCATCGTGGCTCAGCAGTCTAGTGAGATGAACTAAGTTCAGGAGACAGAACAAACTATACTGAGGTGACTCTGGTGCAAAAACAGTTCAGACATGTTTTGCACTGATCAGCCGTTGAGTGGTGAGTGTCTATGAGACAGAGTGGTCCAAGGAGGCACTGAACTGTGGAGAAATCTTTCTGGAGTTTCAGGGTTGCACTAAATAATGTTGGACAAACAGAGCGATCGTGCCTCTTTCAGGGAAATGGAACAAGCCTTTTGGAGCTCACGGTTTACTAACAGGTCAGCCACAATCCTTAAAAGATTCATAAAGAGGAATTTATGAACAGATATGGTGAAACATGGAGTTCAAAACACGTTCCAGTTAAAAACCTAAATGAAGACTACATGCCACAACCTTCAGGACACATAAAGAACTTGAAGAGACCAAACCTCATCTGCATCTCCACGCTCAGGTTGTGCACGAAGTGTCCAGAAAAGGCCAGGCAGTCAACTGGAGTAAGTATTGCATTAATCCATCCTGAGAAAGAAACAGAAATCGAAAGATTAGGGATTAACAAAAATAATTATTTAATTCTAATCAAGGTGTTGAAGAGATTAAAGAACATACAGAGATCTTACTCTTAAACTTCTGAGGTGGTTTAGTTGAGAAGACAGGCACTTCTTCATGTGATTAAATATTACAGCCTGATTTTGCCATTTGTAGCAGCACCTCGTCTAACTTCAGGTGCTGGTTTGACTACCCAAACAAAAAACTACACGCCTGCTCCACCAGACTTCAGTCTTAGTGCAAGTCATGTGTACATTTCACTAAACTAAGGGGAATAAACTCCTATGAACTCAAATCTTACGTGTACCAATGTTACTGAGAAAAGATTCCTGACTAAAGATAAAAGCACGTTTCATTTATTGTCTACGTGTGGATTTTTGTTGGTTCACGTAGTTTTAATCCAACTCAGTGAGTTATCCATCCATTAACTTGATCTGCTTCCTACTTTCTAAGCTGCGGGGGTTACTGGTGCCCATGTCAAGCAGTTAGTGTGCAAGAGGCGAGGTACCCCCTGGACAAGACACTAATCCATCACAGGGCCACATAGAGACAAACGACCACTGACACGCCCATTCACACCGAGGGCCAGTTTAGTTACCAGTTAACCTAACGTGCAAGGTTTTGTGGGAGGAAACCGGAGTACCTGGAGAAAACTCATGTTTCCATAGAAAAAACCAAGTAACCAGCACAGAGAAACACAGGGAACCCGGGATTTGATCCAACAACCTTCTTGCCAAGGGGCAACAGCTGTACCAACTGTGCCACCACAGTTGATGGAGCAAGTTTAGTGAGTTATTGTAGGGCTTGAAGAAAAGGGTCATGCTACGCTGTGACCACGTTACAGTGTGTCTGAAAACAGTGTATACTTATACACACTTGGGCTCAGACCAGCTCTTTACACGTAGCACTTCAGGACCGGTTCTGGAGACGTGGCCAGAATCCAAAGTCCTGCTAATGAACTTTTAATGAACTTTAGTTCACCACCAGTTTCTGGTAAATTAAAAGAATACAGGTTATTAAAATGATCAAATTAAACAATATAAATAATAAATAAATAAAGTCATCATTGTATGTTCCCAAACAAAGATGAAATTGGCTGTCTGCAGTTAACACATCCACCACCAGGTGGAGCAGTGGGCAGCTATGTAAGCACCTGGGGAGCAATTCAGGATTGGGTGTCCTGCTCAGAGACACCATGAGGTCCAAGGACTGGGGATGGAACCCAGGACCTTCAGGTACTGAGTAGGTTAATGAACTTTTAATGAGCTTTAGTTCACCGTTAAGAGTGAGAGATCTGTGATGAGTTCAACTCAAAGCTGCTCCTCAGATAAATAATGTTAAATTATTATTTTATATATAAATGTTTCTGTTCAGTCCCTGAGACGACTTCTGTCGTGACTCGGAGCTTTAGAAATAAACTGAATTAAATCTGATGAACCAGATTCTACAAAAACATCTATATTTAAAATTCTATATGTTTCTTCATCATTTCATGTTCATCATTGTGTCGACTTTTATTGTTCAATTTAAATATGTGGTTTAGTTTCTTATATACAGATTTTATTTCAGCTTTGATTTAAAGTGTAATTCTTGTTGAGTGATTTGTACATGTGTGTTAGAATAATGTTGAACCAAAGGATGTGTCTCTTCTTTAAACACGGTGGAGGGAAATATTCCTGAGATCCAATTTTGTCTTTTTATGATTTTTCAGCTGCGTTAACTTTAATTAACAGATTATTTAAGGAAGTCAAAGTGAAAACAGGGTTTCATGATAAAGTCTGCACCGTTTATTTATTTTTAATCTTCACTGATTAAAAAAACATTTTTTATACATAAAATGTAAAAAAAAAAAGTTTCCACCCTCCGTCCCTGACTCCCGGTGCTCCGCCTGCCGGGGCTCGGGGTCCGGCCTCGCCTGCTTCAACGGCTCGGCAGCTCGTATGATCCTCCGCGGTGACTCCGCTCGCTCGAATATTGTCGTCGGTCACCAAACACAAAAAACGCCTGGACTTCAGAATTAAACACGGTGTTGTCATTATTGTTTTTAAAATCTGAAAAATAGATCCAGCTGCTGCGCCGAGTTCAGAGAAATTGCAAATGGAGGATCAGTGAAAAGTTTCTGAGATCCAGTGACTCCTCCCCCTGACCAATCAGTGACCGACAGTAACAACAAAGTCCATGCTCAGTAATCCAGGTATATAGTTTTCAGTCAGGTCATCTGGACAGTTTATTATTTTTTGTGCTGAAATGTTTCCCCTTCGATCCAGAAGGCTTCATCAGTCAAGGAAACACAACAAAACTGATTCTTCCCCAACAGCTTACTCCAAGGTGGAACAAACCAGTTCTGCTTGTGATAAGATGGTCTCTGTGACCGACAGTGATCAGACGTCACGTTTAGGTGCCGACTCAGCTCAAACGGTCCCACCAGAGGAGCAGGGACAACAAAAGAGGCCGAATCATCCTCGAATTAGCTAAAGGTACTGGTGGAATAAAGATCTTTCAGTGGTGAGCTGAGCAGAGTTGGGCTGAGTAGGAATGGTGGAAAAGGGGCAATAGATATTTTGCATTGAGGGTACTGTCCCACATCGGTTTTTGTCCCATGTTCAGCCACTTTCAGGAATTTCAATCCAATCACACTCCCATTGTTAAACAAAGTTGTTGGTCACATGAAACCCTCAGGCTCCCCTGCTGATCCAATCTCTCCCTCACTGTTCAAACAGGTTCTACCAGCGATTGGGCCCGCTGTTCTTAATATTCTTAACAGTAGCTTTGCTACAAGCGTGGTTCCACAGGCCTTTAAAAATGCAGTAGTCACTCCTTTAATCAAGAAACCTGGACTTGACCCCTCAGTGCACTCAAATTACAGACCAATCTCAAAGCTTCCCTTCCTGTCCAAAATCCTAGAAAAAATAGTTTTTACTCAGTTGAATCAATTTTTAACTGAGAACAAAATCTTTGAGGTCTTTCAGTCTGGTTTTAAGCAACTCCACAGCACAGAAACAGCTTTGGTTAGGGTTTGCAATGACATTTTAACTTCAAACGATTCGGGTCACTATGTGGTACTTGTACTCCTTGATCTTACTGCTGCTTTTGACACCGTCGACCACAGTATCCTCATCTCACGGCTCGAACACTGGGTTGGGATTACAGGAGCTGCTTTAGACTGGTTCCGTTCTTACCTCTCTGACAGGACTTTTTGTGTCAAGGTTGGTGAAAGTCTGTCCACTTCGGTCCCTCTTTCCTGCGGGGTCCCACAGGGCTCGATCCTTGGACCCCTTCTCTTCTCGCTCTATCTGCTCCCACTGGGATCCATCTTAAGAAAACATGCCATCTCATTCCATTGCTATGCCGATGACTGCCAGATCTACCTGCCACTGAAACCAGCCAGTGCTCGTTCCATCCACCCTCTCCTCAAATGTCTAGATGACATTAAGGCATGGATGACTTCAAATTTTCTCAGTTTTAACGACCAGAAAACTGAAGTCATCGTCTTTAGTCCCAGCTCAGCTGCCTCCTCAGATCCTGCAAACCTGGACTCACTTCAGCCCTATCTCAAGCACACTGTTAGAAATCTCGGGGTGGTTTTTGACTCGGATTAATCGGCCAGTGTTATCCAGACCCAACCTTGAAACATTAGTCCATGCCTTCATCACAACCCGCCTGGACTATTGTAACTCACTTTATGCTGGGGTCAGTCAGGCGTCCATTTCACGTCTCCAGCTCGTCCAAAATGCAGCTGCTCGGCTTTTAACTGGTACACGTAGGTCTGAGCACATCACACCTGTTCTGTCCTCCCTTCACTGGCTTCCTGTGCGATCCAGAATCGACTTCAAGATTCTCCTCCTGACATATAAGTGCCTAAATGGCCTCGCACCCCTCTACCTCTCCGAGCTCCTGGAACCATATGTTCCGTCTCGGGCCCTGAGATCATCGGACCAGCTTCTTTTGGTCGTTCCAAAATCACGCCTGAAGCTCCGAGGGGATCGAGCTTTTTCAGTCAGAGGTCCCAACCTGTGGAACAACCTGCCCCTCAACATCAGGCAGGCCTCCTCCCTCCTGATGTTCAAATCCCTCCTTAAAACGCACCTGTTTGCTCTGGCGTTTAATACGGTGTGAGTTAGTTTATTTTGTTCTGTGTACCTCATTTTAAATTCTGTTGTTTTATGATTGACGTTTATTTTTACTGCTTGTTTTTCCTTAGTGTGATCATTAGTGTGTGTTATTGCTCCAGTAATTTTAATTCTGTATGATGTTTTTGTTTTGCTGCCTATGTTTTGCTACATTTCTGTTAAGCACTTTGATAACAGTTTATCTGTTTTAAATTGTGCTCTACAAATAAAGATGACTTGACTTGACATCTCTGTGCACAGACTGGCTTCAAAAATGTAATAGTTTGGAAAAGTTTTTGTTTTTTAAATTAAACACAATTGAAATTAAAACTGCGCTGACAAAAGGCCTTTGCGCACTGGTGCGATCCAGACCGTGCATATGTCCAGCTGAAGCGGATACTGGCCCATCTCTCTGCATCCCGTTCACTTGGGGTAAGAGTCACATCATTTCCAGGAACTAAAGCGCCTGGTGATACCTGCTGGAGTCCATGCTGGCTCTGAGCATGTCAGGGGCAAACCAAGCCAGTCTTCCACGCTCATATCTGAATGTTTTCACCTCCCAGTTCTGACACTGCTCTCAAAAATACCCAAGTTTTGTGAAGCTCAGCCCTCCACAAGTCCTTTTGGGCCAGTTATGCCCCAACAGCAACACCTGTAAGTTTACCAAGCTGCAGCGAGTGGTGAATATTTTATTGGCTTCTCAACTGGCTTATAATTTCCAGAACAGATTAAAATCTGCCAGTAGATAAGGTAGTACAGAGACAAAGTGAACACATCAGCATCATGGCCATGTTCAGGACTGAATACTTGTCTCTCTCATGAATGTTTGAACATCGTGCAGAGGAATTATCCCCCAACGTCTTTAACAGCAAAACTGACAAGACTGAAAAAATACCTCTATATTTCTGTGTGTGGTCTTGTCAAGGCACAAATCTTAAGCTGATACAAATTTGAAGACAAAATAATGTTTTACAATAAAATCACTGAATATTCCCATTTTATTAAAAAGGTCCATTTCCTGTACGTTTTACAATACAGTGCCAGGAGACTTTTACTAGGTCCTGGACCGATGCACCTATGTACAAAATGTATGCACATAAAAGCAGTCAAAGGGGCGGGGCTACATTCAGGATGGTGCTAGTGAGCCATATTGTCACTTCCATATCTGCATTTTTGCACTTCATCCTGTTGACGCTAGTTCTAACTATGTTCCAAGTTTTCATTTTGCAGGACGGTAATAATGGCCTCCCCTCACGAGAAATATCAAGGAAATAACATCCATCCATCTTTTATCCGCTTCTTGCTCTTTGGGTCGCAGGGGTCACTGTGTGAGAGATGGAGGACACCCTGGACCGGTCTCCAGTCCATCACAGGGACACACGGAGACAAACGAGACAGAACCATTCTCTCTCTCACCTAGAGACAAGTCAGAGTCACCATCAGTCTAACATGTTCTTAGTCTGTGGGAGGAAACCGGAGCACCCGGAGAAACCCACACATGCACGGAGAGAACATGCAAACTCCTCCCAGAAAGGTCCACGGCCGACATTTGGCAGCAGCTCTACCCACTGCACCACCGTGCTGCCCAAAGTAACAATAGTCAGATCAAATTCAATATGGCCTCGTGCTGCATCGCAGCCCTCAGGTTCTGATCCATGGTTTTCATGCGATGCGAGAGCTGCTGAGAAACACCAGCTTGGAGGACAAACGGCGTCCAGTCATGCAGCTGCACAAGTATACTTTAATATCCTGATGCGCAGTTTGGCCAGGATGCTGTATCATTCATTTCTTATTGGATGTGTAATCAGGATGGAGAAAAGCTAGGAGAGCGTTTTTACAGGATTCCATCAGAAAGAGAAAATCCAGAGAAGAAGACTGTGGATTTGTGCCTCTACTCCAGGAGGGTACACAACAATAACAGCCTCTTGTCTTTGTAACAAACGATTTGTCAAAAATGTTTGTTACAATTGCTTTGTGCTTTTAGATTTAGGTGTTTAGATGGTTTTTGGTGGTATAGTAATTAAGATTAATGAGTGAGTTATGTTTAATAAAACAAAAATCATATGGTAAATGGGCTGTACTTGTATAGAGCTCTTTACACTACAACCTCTGCCCTCATGGCTCCATTCATGCAGCTCTATACTAGATCTCTACAAACACTAACCAGAGCTTTATCACATTCAGACACTGACAGGACACATCAGAGACAGTGAGGGGTCCAGTGTCTTGCCCAGGGACACTTCAGCATGGGATCGTTTGTGAAATCGAACCCCCAACTCTTGCATTGAGGACTGCTCTAATCACTCAGCCACAGCCGCACACACACACACACACACACACACACACACACACACGGCAGCAGCCATCTTGGATTTTGACGGTACAACCCAATTGTTGATAATGACCTTCTTACTTGTAGATAGAGCGGATCACACAAAACAAGATCAGCGTGTTGCTTATCTTTCACGTTATCTAGTTCTTAAAGTTTACATACGTACATGGCGGCAGCCATCTTGGGTTTTGATGTGGTAACACAATTTTCAAAAGGAACGTTCTCAATCCAAGATGTAGCCACAAACTAAACAGAAGCTGGCACCGCACTTATTTTGAAGTTCTCATGCTCCTAACGTGCACAGATGGACTAATGGACTCATTTCTCCTTTTTATTTTGCATCGGGGACAACAAGTGGAAAGAAGCAGCAGAAACGAGCAGAGATAAACTGAAAAAAGCACCAAAATATTTAAAAATAGCAAAAATGAAACTCCAGTGGACCTGTATTAATATATATATTATTATTGATTACATGATTGATTACAATTGATTGTTTGAATTTGATTGTTTAATAGGGAGCAGATATAATAAGAAATGTTTTCTTCTTCTGCTTCCTTTCATTTTATGTTTTTTTGTTTATTTTTTTCTTTCTAAAAATTGTCATTGTTTTTATATGAAATGAATAAATTTACAATAAAATAAAATATATGATAATAATATATATTATTATATGATATAATATATATTATTATATGATATAATATATACATTATTATATGATATAA